CCGCGCCGGGGTGCCGGGCCTGGTCTTGCCGCCTGCACCCTCCGCCAGTCCGGCATGTTGCTGGACACACCCCTCCCGCGGCGTTAATCTCATCGCCGCCTTTCCGGACCCCCGCCTGGGGGACGCGCGGCCTACCGCCTGGTGTCTCATGCTCCTGATTGTCTCGTGCACCTGACTTGCTGGACTCGTTCCGGTACCCGCACTCGGCCCCGCCGCCGATGGAGCCCTGGCGCAGCAGCCGCCGCAGTCCCCGCTGGCGGGGCCAGCCGCGCCAACCGCTTTGGGCGCGACGCGTCCCCCCGAGCGGCCTCCACCTTTCCCCCTTTTCGGCCGCCCGCCCCACCTTTTTTCCAGTTCCCTTTCGGCCGCCCGCCCCTTTTCCCTTCTCCCTTCTCCCTTTCGGCCGCCCGCCCCCCTCTCCCTCTCCCTCTCCCTCTCCCTCTCCCTCTCCCTCTCCCTCTCCCTCTCCCTCCCCCACTTTCGGCCTCTCCCTCTCCCTTTTCCCTTTCGGCCGCCCGCCCCCTTTTCGGCCGCCCGCCCGCTCCCTTCCATGTTGTCACACTTCGCTACATCGGTGCCCTCGTTTTGTAATCTTATCCGCCAGCGCACTCGACTTCTGCCCAGCCGCCTGCGCAGAAGAGTGGCATGGGGGGCATGGCTTACGAGGGACACGTTGCACAACAGCCCATGCATGGAGGAGCTGAGCCAGAAGTTGCGCGAACTCTTGGCTAGGCCGTCGAAGGGCATGAACAAGAGAAACGCGCAGAAGAGGATACAAGACGGTGCTGGGAGACGCCCAGGCGAAAAGGATGTTGCCCACCGAAAGGTTTCACCGGCAGTCGGCCAGATTGCCACCATAAACCAACATCGTTTGATAATTCAGTCCGCAACGTCGCTGACCACATGTACACCCCCATGCACGCCATCTTCTCACAGTGGTTTGGGGGGGGCCTGGCGTTCGAGGTGGGCCGCGCGGCACTGCGTCCATGGACCGTCGAAGGAATCGGGGTTGCATGTTCACTGGGGCTGGACGTGGAGACGTGGATTCCTCTCGCTTCGCGGGGTGCACGTCCTGAGAACGTACAGTCCAGTCTTTGCGGGGCCTCTTGGGAGCTTCTTTGCGGGAGTGTCTTAGGGGTTTCTAGGGGCCTCTTCTGCACTGGGTTTCTTAGGGGCCTGTGGGGGCCTTTGGGGGGCGTCTTGGGCCGTCGTGAGGCGCTCTTGCGGCGTGTGGCCCATTCAGAAGCCGGTTTGGGAGCCTTTCGCGGCCGTATTGGGGTTTTCTTAGGGTCCTCTGAAGTTGGGCCGTTTTAGGGTCCGCTGGGGCCGTCATGGAAGCCTTTTGAATGTTTGTTGGGCCGTCTTGGAGCCATTTTGGAGGCTGCTTGGGCCTTCATGGGCCTCTGAGAGTCGAAAAAAAGCGAAAACATTACCGTGCCTGGATAGTGGGTCTGAGTGGCGGCCCGTCCCGCCACCGTGCCTGGGTAGTGGGCCAGAGTCCTCAAGGATTCGCCTGAGGGTCTCTTCGGAGGGTTCTCGGGGGCCTATGGGTGGCAGCTTGAGGCATCTTGGAAACCTCTTGGGGTCCTTTTGGGGGCTGCTTGGAGGCCCCCTGGGAGTTCTTAGGGGCCTCTTGGGGCGCCTCTTGGGAGTCTCTTTGGGCTTCCTGGGGCGTCTGCCGTGGGGAACAATGCTCAAAAGTGGAAGGTCTGGGCGTTGATTGGCGTGACCTGCTCGGCTGCCGCGCGTGCGTGCCGCTCCCCAGGGTTTCGGGGCGACCTCATGGGGGGCTCTAGGGAGCCTCTCGAAAGCCTCGGGGCGGTTTCTTGGAGCGTCTTTGGGGCCGCTTTGGGGCCTCTTCGGTTTTTGTTGTCTACGTCTTGCGCCGGCTTGGGGCGCTCTTGCGCCGCCTGGCCCCTTCGGAGGTCATCGTGGAAGCCTCTCGCGGCCGCCTTCGGGCTTTCTTGGAGTCCTTTTGGGCCGGTTTGGGGGCCCCTTGGACCGTTTCGGGTGCCTCTTTTGGAAGTCTCGGGGTCCTCTTGAGCAATCCTGGGGCCCCTTTGGGGGCCTCTTTGGCCGTCTTGGGGTTTTCCTGGAGGCTGCTTGGGTCGTCATGGTCTGCTGAGAGCCGAAGAAAGGCGACGCTGCCAAAATCTTTCTAAAAACAACGGGAAGTTCATGATTTTACCTCTTGCAGGCGTTTTTTCTAATCTTTTTGGGGCTCCCTTGAGTCGTCTTTGGGGCCCTACTGGGACCATCCAGGACCGTCTTGGGCCGTTTGGGGGCCATCTTGTGCCATTTTGAAGCAATTTTGGGCCATGTTGAGGCCCTCTTGGGGCCCCCAGAGGCCCCACAGGCCCAAATCGTAGATTTCCTATGGTTTGCGTATTTGTTTCGAAAGTCCGAGAAGGGGGGCACACATCTTGGGTCGGCGGAGTGGCCCGACTCCACGGGGGGGTGAGGGGGAGACATGATTATGTTCGCTGAGGCTGGACGTGGAGACGTCCCGGGGTGCACGTCCAGATTGCGGAGTGCGCGGGCGTTTGGTGCGTCTTGGAAGATGTGTTTCGTTTCTATGGGTATCGGTTTCATGATATTTGGTTGGCCTGGGACCGCCCCAGGCCGTCTTCGGGCGCGCTAAGATCGCATTGTACCATTCAAGAGCCGTCTTGAGGACCACTCTGTGCCCAGCTATAAAGCGATGTGAACGACATCAGAGGAACGTGCGTCGAGCTAGGTGCAGCATGTCAACGCTTGGTCGGAGGACCGACTGTACAAGCGTCGCACAGGCACGGAGGACCAGCTTGCGGAGCTTTTTGATGAAGCCCAACGCGCGATGCGCAAGGGCGTTCTCGAGCGCCTCAGGGCGGCTTCTTGGGGACCTTTCGGCATCGGGGAAGGTTTTTCGGGAGCTCTTTCGGCCCTCGCGGGGCCATGTCGGTCCGTTTGGGGGCCTTCTTGGCGGGCTGGGAGCCCGTCTGACTCCTCCAGGGGCCGTATTGGGGGCTTCTCACAGCCGCCTTGCGGCGTTTTTGGGGTCCCCTTGGGCTGTTCTGAGGGCCTCATGGGCCGCGCTGCGGGCCGTTATTGGTCGTTCCGAGGCCGTTTTGGGCCCTTTTTAGGTGTTTCTCGGGCCTCTTGGGGCAATTTTGGCCGCTGCGTATCTAATCTAGTGGCCTTCGGCCCAACCCGCCACTGTGCCCGGGCTGTGGGCCAGGAGCTTCCAGGCTGAATACGAGTGTCTCTTGGGTTGCCTCTCTGGAGCCTCTCGGAGGGCTCTTGGGTGCATTTGGAAGGCTTTGGGTGGCCTCGTGGGAGCCTCTTTGGTTTTTGTTGGGGCGTATGGGGAGCTTTTTGGGGCCTCGGGGAGGCGCCTCGGGGGCCTCTTCGGGGGTTCTTGGGGCCACTTCGGGGTGAAAGGCTCGAAAGGTCAGTTCGTATTCCCCCTCTTGGGGTTTCTTGGGGCCACTCTTGGGCCGTCCTGGGGGCCCCTGTGCCCTCTTGGGGGCCTCATGGCCCGTCTTGGGACGATCTTGGACCCTTTTTGGCCGTGTTGGACGCTGCAAAACCCGCTTTGCACGTAAGAGGTATTTGCCAGGCGCTGGTCTCACGTGAATCCTACCTCCTCCCCGTTTTCTCTCCCCTCCCCCCTGGGTTTTCTGGCGCAGGATTTCGATCAGGAGTTTCTGAGGATGCATTATCCAACCCGGAAAGCTGCTTCAGCTCCCCTGGCGACTCGGGTCGTCAGCGCTATTTGTCTTGCCCACGCACATATGACGTACGCGGCTTTTCTTTTGTTTTTTGTTCAGATGTCGTGCCGATGTGACCGGGAGGTTTCTTGCGGCGACGATTGTCGCGGGTTTGCGCCCGATGGGGGCCTTGTCCCGCGCCGCTTGTGTTCTAGAGGTCGTTTTGTTGAAGGGAATCTGCACACCCCCAAGGTACGTGCCGGACTTGGGCCGCCACGACCTGCGCTGCAAGGGCAGTTGCACGACGCCCGCGGTCCCGCTGGGGCAAGGCTTGCGGCGCGCACAAGTTCGACGCGGGGAGGTGTTCAGAACCATTGCCTGGGAGATCGATCTTTGGGAACTCCACCGGTTGGTGGATATGGACACATTTGTCCCCCTTGGGCCCGAGAACACCCTTATCCGCCGCGTGCCGAGGTCCATGGAGATCGATCCCCAGGCGGCGATTCTGGACAAGCCCCTGCCCAGCAGCAGCGGGGAGTCGCGAGGGGTGCGGTTTCCTCCTTCGAAGCCCACCGGGCTTCGGGGACGGCTTTTCGGAAGCCCCCGGGCCCTTCCCCTCTACGGAGGCCGAGAGGCCCCCCGCCGTGTCAGAAGGCCGCCCCCCTCCCGCCACCCCCGTCTGTGCGTGCTGCCAGCAAGGGGCGCAGTGCCTCAACGGGTGCGCCGGCCACGGCGACTGCGTCGGAGGCGCGTGCTCCTGCCGCGACGGCTACCAGGGCGAGGCGTGCGAGATAGGTGGGGGGTTGCTGAAGGTGTCCCCATCTTATCGATAAAGCTTGCTGGAGGCCGTGGGGGCCTCCCTGGAAGTCTTCGGGACGCCTCGGGAGACCTCTGGCAGCACCCGAGCAGGGCCCTGCCCGCAGAATTGCAGCGGCCCGGCGCACGGCACGTGCAGCAGCCTCGGGACGTGCATCTGCATCCGAAGGAGGAAAACGCAGCACGAACATAAGCTTCACCCACACGCAGAAGGGGGGGAGGGGGGAGGGCTTCTTAGAAGCACCCCTGCTTCTTAGAAGCTGCTGGCCTCATCTATAGATGTAATGCCGGTGCCTTCAAAGAAGCAGTCTCCTTCTAAGAAGCCCTCTCCCCTCCCTCCACCCCCTTGTGCGCGCCGCCAAAAGCTGTCGGAGCTCACCGCAGATTTGTTCGAGCGGCGCTGGACCTGGCAGCGGGGGGGCAGGCGCCGATCCAAGAAATCTGCGCAGAACTCTGAGAGATCTCACGTGTCTGTTGTGTTTTCTTCCTTTACGCATGGTCTCTTTCTACGGCAAGGCCTGCGACCTCCTGCGGTGCCCGCTCGACTGCTCCGGGCGCGGCCGGTGCGAGGAGCAGGGAGCCGGGAAAAACAGAGCAGCTGCACATGGCAGCCAAAGCGTGGAAGAAGAGACCATTGTAGCCAAGAAGCAGAAGTTGGGACGATTCCGGGCTCAGGCGCGGCACGATCGAGGTAGGCACGGATAGAATGGTCACGAAGATCGACAGCAGTTGTTGCCCATTTTGAGCAGGGCTAGCTGTCGGTGTCGCTGCGGACGTAGCCTACTTGGGGCAAGAGTCGGAAGAGCAAGGGGGAATGGCAATGATACGTCAATGATTCCAGGATTTCCTGCAGTCCCTGATTTCCCATGCGGGCCACGGAAACGAGGGCCGCCAGACACTCCCGAATGCTTGGAAGTATTCTGAACCAGCCGTATGATCTCATCATCATAGTCCCAAAGAGGGTGCCTGCCCAACAGCGGCCGCCGTCTGGTTTGGTCAACGTTTGTTTGGCATCGTGAGTGTTTGTCTGTACCGTTCTAGGCGTGGCAAGAGGCTGGGCTTTGGTTCTCGTACTGCCCCTCAAAGCTGGGTCAGGGTGACCTGCTCGTCGGTCGCTCAAAGTCCGAGTGAGCGGGCCGGACGGTCATTCATTGCCTCGGGTGCGTGGTGGGGTGACGTTCCGTCCAGCAGATGTTGCTTGTTGTGCTGTTGTTGTTGCTGCATTCTCGTCGCCCTCACCCGCGACCCACCCGTGGTGCGACCTACGTGGTAAAGAACCAGTGGTGCGAGCTATGCGGCCACTATGTGGTGCCATACATGTGCGCAAGTGTTCTTTACCCATCGTTCTTGGCGCATTCATATGTTCGACGGTCCCGTCGGGGGGTCGGGGAATCGCGGGTCCGTTTCCTCGTATTTTTCCTTGGTTTCTGCTTCCGTTTGCAGGGAGTGTGCGGATCGCAGATGTGCCCAAGCGATATGAATGGGGGGCGCGCGCGCCCGTCGTCGCTGGCATCGCGAAGGACGACTGCAAACGGTTTCTTATATTTGTCTTCGGGGCGGTCTCGTGAATCACAGCAGGACGCAAGCTCGAAACATTGGCGGGAACGTGGCCGCTTTCAAAGTGCGAGCCAATGTCTATATACAACTACGACGGTGCTGACCTGTGCGGAGGTTTGGCCCATACGCTATTTCATCCCCAGATCTGGGTTATCAGCCGAAAGGCCCGCACCAGCGGGGTGATGAATTCGGATTCGATGGTTGTGGATTTCGAGGCGATGATCTCGGACATTACGTTCGAGGTTGACGGGGCCGCTGACGGCCACGCTGTGGCGAGCGGTCAGTTCTCGCCGCAACGGTTGGGACGAATCGAAAAACTAGTGATGGGCGCGCCATTTTCATAGGGAGGAACGTCGATACACCGACCCCCGCAGGTGCCTCGCATAGCGGAGCCACTGCGACGGGGAAACTGTTGTTGTGGGCTCTTCGGCGGGGAAACTTGCTGCTCCGGGCGGTGCGGCGGAGAATCCTGCTGCCAGCGGCGCTGCGGCGGGGAAACCGGAGGCTGATGTGGTTGCGACGGGGAAGCGCGGTGCTATAGGGAGGCCAGCCATCTTCCAGATGAATTCGGGATGGTCGGGCCAGCGGGCGGGTTATATGCCCTACCACATTCGATAATGTGTTTCCCCCCCGTGGCCACACACCATAATAAAAAAACAATGTTAGCCACGATGGGCCAGAACGAGCAAGAGAGCCACACCTCACGACCGCTCTTGGGGGTAGATTCCAATGAGCGTCGAATTGACGCTGTCCAGAACGATGGGCGTCGGACTGACGCGGGCCAAACCGATGAGCGTCGAATCGGCGCGAACCATGAACGAAATGAGCTTCGAGTCGACGCGCCTGTGCTGCCAAGTGACCGGCTGAGTGTGCAAATTGCTTCGCAAAGTGTAAATCTTGCGACACTCGATAGCTTTGCAAGAGCAAAAAGGGAGACACTCTCCAAACCTTCCGCGGCACATTCTTAGAATACGCGAGAGCCAACCATGACCACGGCGACCAGCAAGCACGGGCCGTTGCAAAAGTACCCCAGATGATGGCCCAATGGGCTATTCGACCACGAGCAGTCCGTCCAGTTATCGATGTTGAAGCCCGTGCAGTTGTCGAAACCGTTGTGGCCCATAGTGCCAGGCATCAGGATATGGCGCAGCAGCAAGGACAGAGTAGCAACGCCTGCCTCTTATGAACAGCTTGCGGTACTGGGCCAACGAAACAAGAAAGGTTCAAACCGAGCCAGGTATATGGTCTGGAATCAGCAGCGTGATGACATGATGCATGCCTTTGTGACAAATCGGACCCCCACGACCGCAGTATTTTGCTAAAAAACAACGAGTTGGGGCAGTTTAAAAAATCAAGGGTCGTACATGTCACAACCACCGTGGCTTGCACAAGGACGAACAACGCTGCCCTCAAAAAGCAGCTCAATATAAACGGATGATCCAGCCCCTGCAAATAATGACGTACTCCCCACGCGCGAAGCTGAGTTTGTAGACCCACAGATGCAGGTCAAAGACACGTACGAAACTCAGCTCCAGAGCCACAGTACGTTGAGCGCCATTAGCTTGAGTAGGATTAGACATGAGGCGCGCGTCGACTTTGCCAGGTTTGATAAGTTGGCCGGTGCGATCAACAAGAGTGTGGACGATTACCGAAATGAATCGAGGAGGCGTTTCTCTGCGATCTTCGCTGGACAGATCACCCGTCATGAGGAACGTGGGCCCACGAATGAGGAGGCCACAGCCTTTGCCCATGTCACCACAGCCGCGCCAGCAGGCCACCCATGGCACCAGCGTGAAGCGTCCTCATACCCCCTGCGCGTGATTCTGTGGCGGGGGAACCTGATGCCACGCGCATGACGCACCAGCGCATTCCGGCGGAGCAATCTGACGTTCGTCGCACTGAAGAAACCACGTTCCAAAGACAGAGTCAGCAGAACCATGCCAGTTAATCCACGCCCCAATCTGAGAATTTTCGGCAGCACGAGCGTTCCGCACCGATAAGGGCCCAGTGGGCGTGAGTCATCTATCCAGAGCGAATAGCGCCGAGGTGTACCACCCCGGCCCTTTGGGGATGATCTTCGCGGCACGGGCTGTGGATCCTCGAATCATGAACGGCTGAGCGCCGCAGAATTAGCAGTTCGGATATTGCTAGACAAAACGGAATACAAAGAGGCCGAAAAAGGCAATGCCGAGGCATATTCGCGGCACCGTGCTCCCAACAGTGGAAGCAGGAAACGCAATATAAGACGAGCTCTGCCTCAGGCAGTCCAGATAGGTGTTCCACATGACTCCGCGTGATTGAGGATACTGCAATAACGCATGAGTCCCCCGCGGACAGCGTCGAGTCCGAGACTCTCGATATGGAAATAGCAACAGCACGCGGCAGCACCCTCGGACATGATGTGTTCAGAAGCCAAGACCCGCGGCGAGCTCGTCGAAGGACGGCAAGCCCTCTTCATGCGTCTGGGTTGGCGCAGGCTGGTAGAAGCAGGCGGCTGCATTCTTGATTTTACCCGCCTCAATGCTGCTGAGGTGAAGGGCAACAGTTTCGGCGTGTTCATGCAGGATTGGGGCTGCACTCGCCTCGGCATGGATGCCCCGCCGGATTCGGCCATCATTGGATTGCCGTTCGGGACGCATGTAGAACGCCATCGTGGCCTCGAGTCTGTCATAGGGACACATTACTGGATGGACAGAGGCGACGCAAACAACATCGATGCATCAGATTCCGGGAGAGAACGCCTGCTAGCGGCACGCAGCGGAATCATATTAGCATGATAAGGGGCGCTCAGCCGCGCCCGCAAGCCACGGGGGCGCGCGGCGACTGGGCCCAGACAGGCACGCGCGCCTCACAGGGCTTCCCATTGCATCGCCCAGGGCATTCGAAGGGGAGGACTACTGGACCGGCCAACAGGCTGGGGGCCCGCGATATCTGCGAAGAGCGCGCCCTAGCAGGCAGGCGTCGTAATCCGCGGTGCGAAGAAAGGCGCGGGCCAACTTTCTGGCGCCACCAGGGCGGGGTCTGCCGGCACGGGAATAAAAACGCTCTTTGCACACGTGGGCAACAGCGGAGAGAAGCCAGCACAAGTTTTAAAAAAGCCTCGGGAAGCCGGGCCCCGGCGACGAAGCGCCGCGCCTAACAGTCCGCCTCGGCCGTCGAACAGGGAGCAGCGGCACCTTGCAGGCCCGACACAGGGCGCGCGGGGAGACGCTCTCCGCGAGGATCAAGCCAGCCTGCAGTTGGCCGCAGGGGCGGGGCGCCGCCGCCGAAGCGGGCCCGCTGTCGCAAGCGAGCGGATTCCGACGACTGAGCGCGGGGGCGCTCGAGTAGGGCCGCGGCAGAGCGCGCGCCCGGGCGCCCAAGGCCACCTCCTTCGAGGTCGCCGCTTGCCACCCCGCGCCGCCCCCCATCCAGGGGGGGAACGCGGGGGCGCGGCCCGCGGGGGGGGGCAGGCGCGCGCCCCTGCGGCGGCGAAAGCTAACGCCAAGCACTCCGCTGGATCGCCCCCCCTTGCGGCGAGGGAACCTGTGGCGACGCGTTCGCCGAGGCCTTTCTCTGCGGCGGCGGGGGGGCTGAAGGCGAGGCGCCCGCCGAGGTTTGAGCGCCGCTGGGCGCCGGCGCCCCCGGCCCCGCGACCTCCCGCAAAGCTGAGCGCGGAGGCCGAGCGACGGCATTTCGCGGGCGGGAAATTTTCTGCCGCGGCTCGGGGCTCGAACTGCGCAGCTCGAGATCCTCGGCTTCGCCCATGGACTTCTTCTTTCGGCGTCGCGCCGTCCATATTATTTCGCGTCTCTCGTCGTTCCTGGATTCGCCTTGGAATAATGTTTTAGTTCGCCCGCGTTCCTTGGCCCATGGATTTCGCCGTTTCAAACTTCAACCTTTCCCCGTTAAGTTCTTCGCGCCCCCCCTGCCGCAGATCTTCCGCCGGCGGGCAACTTCCGCCGACGTCGCGCATCCACTCGTCCGAGACGATCGACGCTGCGCGCGAGGAAATGCCCCCGCGGCCACCGCGT